AACGAGGTGAAAGTTAGCAAAAGTAATAGCAACTTTTGTAGCCCGTCAAATGGCGATTCGAATGAGATATGAATGAAGACTATACCTATAAAGACCACAGACTTGATGTCTTTACCACGAACGTCAATCGACTTGGGTTCGGATTAGCCGACGTTTGAGCGACCGACATTTGAGCGACCCGACATTACCGCGAACGACATGAAACCTGAGTGAAGTTATGTGGTGAATAGTCATTATATGATACAGTTACAGATATACAGTTTCGCATGATGATAATATGTTTTGTGTGAAACTGCATTTCGAACTCACTCTCATACTGATAGTCAAAACTAATAGTAATTTGCGTTAGTAATATTTTGACATCTAATGCAACACCCAACTTTTGCTTATGAACGTCTTCCCTAAAAAATGTTTAAACATTCCAATTCTTCACAGTAATTAGTTGTTTTTTACCACGTGATGCTATGATTTCATTTCATTTTTTCAGAATAACTTGTGTTATTTCATTGTCTTTTTCAAATGTCACTAATTCATGACACTAAAATCGAAGAACGAACGTTGATATATACTTTATTCTGTTAGAATACAAGCGAAAAAATATTTCGTTATACTATTCTAAACTAAAACTATCGAAAAGCACAAAATCAATTTTGCACGAATAGAGATTCGAACACATGAACTTAGCTTTGCAGTAAACTGCAATACTAAATCCACTGTTCTGTGTGATATTCTGTACAACAATTGAAGTTGTACAATCGACTCGATGTTCTCAGTAGTAATTTTTTGGTATGTTTTTTGTGTTCCGAAAAAAGCTTCTGATTTCTCTACTGATTTTTTACGAAAAACTTCCAATTTCTAAAAATTGGATTGGGGCATCCTGGAAACAATAATAGATTATTTTTACAAAGTTCAAACAAAGTTTCGAAACTTTTCAAGTTATTTCGAAATAGTAAAGTACATGGATTCGAATTTTCTTTCCAGTTTTTCCTTCCTTTTGTGTGACTCAAACGGGTAGTATATATGCATATATCCTTCCAAGTTTTGTGTTACTGCATCATATTTTCTTGTGCAGTAAACAGGCGCCACGCTTTGGCCACTCATCTGCACCACCAACTAGTAGCCACACAAGTTACCGTATTTAAGCAATATTCATCTTTCCTAGATTAACTTACTTGACCTAAACAAATCCAAAATGGCCACAAGCCGATTCTTTCTAAGACGTTTAAAAAACTCAGAAAACCAGTTTGGAATTTTTTATTGATTATGGTTTTCGAGGTTTCTTTTGACCAGAAACTTGTAGAAAGCTCGGAAAGGTCTAGTTTTGTTCAGAATTCGATTTTTTACCGATCGTGACAGTTTTGAAAACAACTGGTTTTTGAACAGGTTTTCTGGAGATCGGATCTCTAGATAACCTTTTGGAGAGTTTTTTGAAATTCTGAAAAGGCTTCCATTAGATTTGTCATCAATTTTTTACCTATAAAACTAAATTTTCATGTGATTTGCCTTAAAACTCACGGACTTTTCACCAGCTTTTTCTATCCACGAAAAATCCGCATATTTGAATCGTAAAAGTTCTTTGTATAATATTGACACGTTTTCTAGATCGGTTTTGCGCATAGATTACCGAAAAAAAGGTTTCGAAACTCAAATACTTACCGTTAAGAAATGCCGGACGCTTTTCTGTAAAAATCGAGATTTTTCGGTTCTCAAAAGTTTTTAGTTTTTTGCGCCTTTTGACCTCAAATTTCAACTTTTTCCAAACAAATTATGCACTATTGAATTCAGCATAAAGTTCTACATCGACTGATGTAAAATAATCGAAAAAATAAAAAACGCTCCGGTTTTGAATTTCCTTAACCCTAAATACATCATCTAGTTCTGAAAGTAGCGATGAAGAACCACAACAGAAAACAAACAAAACAGACGTGAATAAGTTTTTCAAGTCAGTGCTATATCAAATCGAGATTCTACAATTCTCCTCTGATTGAATGAGCGTCTTACGAGGGAACCTCTTGAGGTTATAAATCGCTTTTGAACTCGGACTACTTGTATCTTGTAGACCTCAGTGAGTAGTGAAATACCCTAAGTTGGTTTATCCCCACGGCCGAAACGCGTCATGACTCATGACGCGTTTCGACCAGTGCTCAACGGTCTCGTCAGATGGTTCCAATATTCTTCTATTCAGACGTTATGAACTCGAAGATATTGTGGCTATGTCACTTTTCTGTCCTGATCTATATGATCTGTACTCGTGAAGTAACATACTGAGAATGGTAGGATGCTATTTATACATAAATAATATATACATGCATAAGTACTATATTTTCTTATTTCTGATCCATCGATTGTTTGATTATCTATATTTCAAGAAAATAACGTTCATCGACTGACCTGATTTTTCTTTTCCTTTATTAGTAACCACGGTCTCTTGTTTTATTTGATTTTTGCATTATTTATTCCTTTTCTCAGAAAAATGACCTAGATCGTATCCTCGACCATTTCTTCGTCCAGTCTCTGTTTCAGGAGTGATGCCGGTTTTTGTGTTAACGACACATCTTGATCGTGCAAAGGCGATCTAATGGGTATAATACATGGAGAATAAGAAACAGGAAAAAGATTATATTTAATTTTCATTATCGTGGAGGTATAAAGTATCGCAATGAAACTCCAATTTGAAACACAGGCGGTCAAAATACGTTTTTCGACACGTAGTTTCTACGGAGACACATTGAACTCATACACACTCTCCAGTGAAGAAGAAACACTAGTATTTTTTTACTTAATTTACAAGAGCAGTATATGGAAGGGAAGAAATCGAAAAAGACATTGTGCTTTGAAAAGAGTTCTCTGACGATGAGTTTACGTACAAGTTATTGTCCTCTTTTGTTTCAAGGGATATTTCGTTATTTCGAACAACGACAGAAGATTTTTCTCTCTTTCACAGAGAAAATGTTAGGCATATTCTCTTTCGGCACGTAACTAGATGTGTCTTGTGACCATGCTACTGGAGAACGACAATAACAACTGATCGTCATCATAATATATTTTTTCTTTATTCCTTTCTTATTGTTAAATGAGAATAATATTATTATTGTTTATCTCTACTAGTTCTAGGCAAGTATAATGTATTCAAGCCTATTACGTATTTCTGTCGTTGTTTGGTTTCTTAATGTGATTAAATGTACATATGCACATGATAATAATGATGAAAAACAAATCTTAACATCGGAGTTTTGGCAAGAAAATTGTTGTTCTAAAATATTAAAATCACCGGGGCAAGGAACAATCATAATAAATGAATCAGTGCCATTTCATATTCTGTTAAAAAATAAGTTAAATTTCAATAAAAGAAATCAATACTGGTTAATTTTATCGATAAACAAAGAAAAATTAATGTTACGGAAAATCTTTAATAACCGTCAGACAATATTGAAAGAAACTGCGGATCGTGATTATGTTTTACAAAGACAAGAACCGACCAGCAAATCAGCAAAATATTGGCTGAGTGTGGACTCCAAAAATTTTATTATTAAATATGGCCGAGGTGAACTGCGCGAAATGAGTACATTATTCAGTATTAGCATGGCAGACGACATCGATAGAAAATATTGGAAGAAACTGAAATACACCTATTCTAAGTTTAATTCATACAATGAAACTGAAGAAATAGAAGAGGATGATACTGGAAGTAACGAACGTAGTAGATGCCATTACTTACAAGAAGCAGCGATCGGCAGTGATCTACCAATACTTGTCTCAGAAGAAAAAATGTTAGATGACGACTTGGGGTCTAATCGAATAATAGCAGCCGAAGATTTAGATAAACCAAATCAGCGACTCTACAAGATTGTTATAAACTTTCAATTAGTCGATCCAGAATGTCCAAACTTTATACATGCCATTGAACATAGTTGCCATGGACCATCAGGCTGGTGTTATAAAACACTGCATAAGAAAGCAGCAAATCTGTCCGTAAACATTAATTCGACATCATTTCGGATCAAAGTTAGTAATCAAACGATAACCGAACTATGGCCTCCAAATCATCGATCAAAAATTCATCAACATTCACCTAACACTTATGGCGTCATACGTATTCTCTATGGTAAACTTGTCATTGAATTTTATCCGTATATCAGTGTCAATAACCCGCAACAACAGCCACTTCTACAGCAAATATGTGAAAAAAACATTGTGACATACATTAAATCGGGTCTGAATCAAATATACCGGCTGTCAAATACGGGAAAAGATTTATCGATTTTTATACAATCATATGATACAGGAAATGATTCGTTTAAATATATTGATCAAGATCAGAAGCAAAGTAAACTATTAAAACCGTCAACAGATATTGATTACGAAAAATTTAAGAAACTTATTAGACAAGAATGGCATTCCAAAGGTAGATTGCATCGCATGATTCCTTCGTCGGTATTGTGCGCCCGTTTCTAATAATCTGCGACTGATCAAACCTGATGGTTGTCAAAACACGGATAACTAATTTGTTCTACTTAGGGTAGTCCAAAAGTACTGACTTTTGCAGATAAAATCCGACAGAATGGAGCAAAAACCTGATTAGCTGCCCCTCCGTCTGTGTATTGTCCATCTGTCTGTGTTTCTGTATTCCACTGTTTCTGTCTGTCCGTCCTCCCTCCCTTTCTGTCTGTCCAGCCAGCACCCGTTACTCTTTGTCTGTCTGTCTGTCCGTCCGCCCAACGCTCCTTCCTCCCTTTCTGTCTGTCTACGACGCAGTATGCATTAAGAAATCGTCGGTGACTTCCTTCACAGGATACTCACAAACGATAAGCTTAATCCTGCCACACATCATCATCATCATCAAGTCTAACTGTTTATGAATTGAAAATTCTAGCTCACTGTCAAATAACTTAGACTCTTCGCTTTAAACTCTTCTAAGGAGATGCGGTTATGCTTTGATAAGAGTTTTGTATTAGGGTGCAATGCACTTCGTCAAGATAACTATTTGACAAAATTTTCACTCTAGAGATTATGCAGTCACGTTTCATACGAATTCAGATCTAAGGTCTGTTGATGTAACTTGTACATATTTCTAGTAGAAGCCGTCCTTTATTTTAATCAGTAGTATATAAGTAACTTTTACTCACGAACGAACGTTTTCAGACGCCAGTTAGCCGTTGGGTTAAACTCGGTAAAGAACAGTAATAAGTGTGTTGACTCACAGTTGCCCTCCAAACTGTACAAGAGAAGTGTTAAACTATTATCTTTTTTTCACGAAAAATTTGCAGAGTTATTGAGCGCACATGCTTAGCTTTTTAGTTCACTTGTAAAATCCCAAGAATAGACGCACAAACTCCCTAATATGTTTTGTCTTTTTTTCTAAAAGAAACGAAAAGAAAGAAGTAACAGAAAATGAGGAAAAAAATGCATATCGCTGTCTTTCTTATCGTAAGATAGACTCATTCTACATCTTTTTGTTGTCCAAGAAAAAACGTGGTGCGATATCAACAAATGTATGTATAGGACAAAAGAAAGAAGTGTGAAAGTTACCTTTTTCTTCAGTATTTTGATAGTGACTTGCTCTCTCGCAATATCAATTAAAAAAAGTAAGTCTGATTTTTACTTCGAACCGGAATGAAGGACTGTCAATGGTGTTCAGGTTGTTTAGCTTGTGAGTTTCTACACTATAAAGCCTTTTCTTTTGACAAACTGTGTACATCGAAAATAAATCTGACCAAATAAATGGAGGATCTTACTTCTTAAAACAGCGCATTCTCGCTCAGAGAAGCCAAATCATCACTCAATTAAAATATTAGTCTCGCACACAGAGAGCAATTAGGCGAACATTTGACGAAAAAAAGATAGTGAGGAATGTCGAGATTCTAACGGTCCCTGATACGTGCTAATGAACGGCGGAGCTATTAGGAAAAATTTTGGTGCAAAGAACTGAGGCGGCCGAAAAGAGTGACTTCAGTTTTGTCATTATGCGACAGATTTTCAAAAAACGCTGTGCCGTGCTAGACATCGACCGAGTCGGAAGCTGAAGCACGTATATTTTTAAACCTGAACGTTTGGCCTATCGATTCATACAAAGAGTTTTCAGTTTTGATAAACTTAAGCTGAATCTATAGAACATACGCAAAGATGCGAGGAACTTTTCCCGTGATGTTATGGGTTTTTGAAAACTCTGGACGGATTTTCGAACCTTGTCAGTTGATGGTTCTTCTCTAAAACTTGAGTTGATGGTTTTTTCATTTTACTCGAGACGTCGGAAAATTCTAAAGAACAGTTTTTTACAGGTTTTCGGCAGTAACGAATCTAATAGCGTCATAAAAAAAATCCCAAAATGGTTTTCGAAGATTTTCCAGCAACCAGATCTCTGTTTTTTTCGACGTTGATCGAGAGAGCACTATCAGAAACTATCGAGACGGACGAGTTAAATAGAATGCTTTAAAATTAAATGTCCTATCAAAATTTGTTCCTTGTGTCGCGTTTTCTTCACTGACAGTTGCTTTCTGCTTTCGCGAAAAGTATTGCTAACGTGCATATGACACGTAAAAAGTCCAAATGGAACGTATGACTGAAAAATAACCTTTTTATTTCGTTTTTTCTTCAACTGACTATCAACCATCTAGCCTCCATATAACCTCTTTTATTGCGGATTCGCAGTACAATGTCTGAAGCTTCAAGCGACTTAGTGGAACCACCAATCAAGAGACTGAAAAAAGACTCAATCACATCATCAGACAAATTTGCGACACCAACTAACGATTCATCGGCTATGTCGAGTTCCATCTCTCAATCTACAGATACGCCATTGACTTTCGAAGAAAAAACAATCGCAGCAAGAAGTGTAATACAAGAGCGCCGCTTGGTATTTAGCCGTGAACGAGTTAACCTTGAGTCTCATCAGTTAATCTGGTTTGATACAAATGTCAACTCCCTCACAACCTCCGAGCGTGCCTTTATAGTTGATCGACTCAGAAAAGTTGTTGACTACACAAAATTGTTTGACAATTGTAAAGATTGTCGAGAGTTTATTGAATCTACAAAAGGCGTTGTTACGTTCGTCGTTTTTTCGGGTAATTTTGGCGAAAGTTTAGTTTCACAAATTCATGATATGAAGCACGTTCGATCCATTTATATTTATAGTGACAATTCGTATCACTCACGATTGGCATCCACCAATACTAAAGTAAGAGTTTCTTTTCATATAGAGCTTCTAAGTGTTAAGTCTGATTTTAATATCAAACCACCAGAGACAGCACAAAAGAAAGAGATACTTGTCATGGACTTTTGCACAGTTGCAAGAACGACTTATCAGATTCATCATATAATGATACGGTGTAATCTATAGTCTTCTTCAGAGTCTGTTTGCATAGCTTCAGACACCCCGAGACGTGTGAATGCAGTTCAGATTTGGACTTTTATGTGCTGTTTCCGTTACTATTTTTCACCACAACATTTGTGCGAAAGTTCAGACCGTCCTTTGATTTCTTCGAAATGACATTATTAAACCAAATCCATATCCTTAGCCATACTTTTCATATCGTGTCAAGTTCTGCCACTCTGTTCGCTACCAATGTTGATCAGTTTGAGCTGATTTTTTTCACAGAGAGACGGGAAGCCTTTGTTCTTCAAAAACATAGTTACGTCCCCACACATTTCACCTAATCAAGAGTTAGCCTAATACAATTTGGCTAAAGAAAAGATTCGAACAATTCTTTTGCCATAACGGAACAGGGACAAAGGATTTCATAGAGAGGCATCAGAAATATATCTCAGAAGTTATTTCTGCCGAATAGATTCTGAAATATTATGTTTTTTTCCCTTTTTTTGAAGTTTTTTAGGTTTTTCGCTGATAAAGAATTTATATCGGCAAAGTTTATCAAACTCTTCATAAGCCTTCACTTCTGCGTAGAATGATGTATAACACATGGTCTGTTTTTCAAAAACTAATTTTAATACGAAAAGCATATACATAACTCACAGACTTCCAACCATCGAATTTTTCTGAACAACAGACCATTTGTTATACTTCATTCTACGCAGACATGAGCGGTGTTTCCGAGTGTAGACAAGATTTTGTATACAAGCATATCAATTACGGAGGCAGAAAAATGCCCAATACTGAAAAACAAATTACTATTTCGAGATCTCTGCCGGGTTACATCTTCAAGTAAGTTTTAGTGTGACTTCTGAAAACTGGAGCACACTCTGGCTCCCCCAGAGAAGCAGTCGACGCTCCCCTTTCTGGCAAAAAAAAGTTTCCCATCTTTCTGTAGCGAAGCTGTATTAGGCAACAACCTATCATTCTACTGAGTGAAGTCGGAGTGAGATGCCTCTGTTTTTGCGGAGCCGTTATCGATCTACCTATCTGTGTAAAAACCAGCTTGAACTGATCAATGTCGAGGGAGATAGCAGAGATTAAATTGTTACAGTATGAAAACTATGGCTGTGGCTATGAACTTTTTTTTAGAGCCTGCCAACTCTGAGAAAAGCGAGGACGAACTGGATGTTGTGACGACACATAGTAACAAAAGCAACAAATAACAGTCCGAATTAGATGCATTTCGGTATGAAGTGTGTGAGAAGCTATGAAAACTCGATTCTTCTAAAATAAATATAAAACCACTTTTCCATTTTTATTTGTCTGTCAGATAAAACAAGTACATACTGATCTACAATCGCTCCTTAACAATCTGAAGAAAGACGTTAAATGCTATTTGAAACAAGACAAAAATGGCATTTTTAGCGAAGTTGGTAGACAGAATAATACAGCAGAGAACTACGTTCTAGGATGGTGGCGACATTTCGTTATAATGCTGTGTCATTTGCCATATCCAGAAGGCGCTCGGGAAACACTCACTATTGCCTTAAGACAATATTATCAAGATATGGACGCGAAATTGAGAGCAATAGATGAGTTTGAGAGAACTTACACTCCAGGAAAAGCTGTTTGGTGGTATACGCGTGACACATTTCTCTATCGTCTTTTAAACAAAGCACTTCGTCAACATAATATCGAAGTGATGTTTCTTTTTGGCTTCTATATCAAAGACATATACCATCAACTGAAAAATGAACACCGAGAGTTTAAGAACAGTCATTCGGACCAACCAATAGTTACAGCTTATCGAGGACAGCTTATGTCATCGGAGGAGATAGAAAAAATTCAGATGTTTTCCACCACCGGAATCGTCATTAACAGTTTCTTTTCGACAACTCTTGATCGCCAAGTAGCAAAGTTTCAATTAGATCCAACAGTGCAAGGCGACAACCAGTTGAAAAGCGTTTTGTTAGAAATTGAACTCGATATTCGAAATCAGTCTCTTCCCTATGGTGATATTTCGAGTTTGTCGTCTTTCTCAAGCGAACAAGAAATCCTACTGATGATAGGTACGCATTTAGAAACTGTTGAAGTAACTCACGATAAAGATAAAGACATATATTCAGTTAAGTTGACACTAACTGACGACCTCTCACTAACGGAAGATGGGGACTTAAATGTCACAACAATGAAAGCAACAGTGAATAGTTGCCTTAAGCAAGCAGCAAATGAACTTTGTAAAGCGACATTAGAAGAGATAAAGACTATTTTCATCGAGCTGAGCGAACTATACCCAAGTGAAAAGAGTTGGCTTGTGGCAGTTAAACACTACTTTATGGGTGCACATTACAGATTATGGGAGCGAGTAGAAGGAGAAGATGAAAAAGAAGAAAATGAAGAGAAAGAGCTGTTAGCAGAAAATAATATGTAATCTGACTGACAGCACTGCCGCGAACAAGCATTATGACCTTGCAATCAGTTATTCAACTTCTTCTTTACAAAAAATTACGGATCCAAAAGAACTAGACCATATCTATGGGTTGCTTGGCAGAATATACAGAGGAAAAATAGAAATAAGCCCTGATGAAAATGAAAGAAGTGATTTGACGCGAAGTGCTATTCAGTATCGGGAATTGCAGCTGAAGGAAATGTNATGTAATCTGACTGACAGCACTGCCGCGAACAAGCATTATGACCTTGCAATCAGTTATTCAACTTCTTCTTTACAAAAAATTACGGATCCAAAAGAACTAGACCATATCTATGGGTTGCTTGGCAGAATATACAGAGGAAAAATAGAAATAAGCCCTGATGAAAATGAAAGAAGTGATTTGACGCGAAGTGCTATTCAGTATCGGGAATTGCAGCTGAAGGAAATGTCAAAATACTACAGGCCAGAAGATAGACGAATAGCACAACCACTTACTGATTTAGCTTACCTGCAGGAATCAATCCTTCTCATGGAGGATGCACTAACGAATTACGAAAAAGTTATCAAACTGTATGAGCTACAAAGTAAGCCACGGCCAGATATGGTTGCTGGAGTATATAGGAGCATAAGTCGAATGTATATTGAACGGAAAGATGATCAGGCTTCTGCGCTACCTTACAAAAAGAAAGAACTTGAATATATTCTGAAAGATGGCATAGTCAACCTAAAGGTTGCACAAGACGATAAGGAATTTAATTATACCATGATTGCTAAATGCCATCGGGAATTGGCTGATATTTATATCAAACTGCGCCAGTATCGACCAGTTCGCGAACATTTAACAGCAGCGAAAAAGATCTTTGAAGATAATGATTACTGGAATAAAGAATATGAACTTAAAACAATAGAAGAAAGGTTTGAGAAATTATCCTCGGAATAAACATATTAGACATCTGACTTTACTTTGCGTGAAGCGTTTTCTGTTGCTAGACTATAACATGCAATATTAGTGTTCATGTTCGTGATTACAATGAATTTATGCTAGTTTTTGGTTGACCGACAGAACGACTTCTTTATGTTATAGATACCGATGTTAGTACAGTTCGGTAGTAGAGCTACGGCACAGGTAACCACACCTCAAGGTTGCCCCTGATGTTTTACCTAAATTCAAAAGTAGTCGTAAAATGTGATAGCTGCGGGGTTGAATGTTTCCCACAGCAGTAGTAGTTGACTGTTGGAATCGTGTGGGAGAATTATTCACCCTGTGATTAAAGCGCCATTGGTTAGCTCTAGTTTTATGCAACAATTTTCGTTGATGGGATCAAAAAACACATTAACACATCAAAAATACATTAAGTGCAGATTTGTGAACCATGGAGATAAACATCACATTTTTGTTTTTGAAACCCGACAACCATCGAAGATCAGAGGTCGAACTTCTGCAAACGGAGAAAGTTTTTGAGAAAACTATATTCTGTAAATTTCACCGGAGAACTATAAAGGACTGCGAAGGATAACCGAGTGCCGAGCACCGGAAATTAACTGAGTGAGAGTTACATATTCGGAATCAGCGTCAAATTCTGAGTATTTTAGCCGTCTTACTTTTTCAAAAAGCGCACTTTCATTTTTTTCTAAAAATCACGTGGATAAGGATCCCCTTTTGATAGGGTGGCACTTTACCTTTACGTTACTTGTAACTGGTAACGAAATTAGTTACTCGTAGTGTCCTGCGGGACAGTCCCTAACCTCGAAAAATTCCGTTTGTCCCGCGGGACTGTCCTGAATATTTTTCGGGATGGGACAAACGGGATTTGGGACTAGACAGAAAAAAAGACTGTCCCGAAAACTAGTGTATTTCTGCATGGCATCCTGTGACATTTGTAGGAGTTGTGTTTTCCTGACATATGACTTTTCCAGATGAAGCGAACGAAAAGTAGCACAGCCTTGATTAGGTGAGTTTGATGACGTTATACACTGTCATCGCGATAACTATCATCCCTCTTATCTTTTTCTTGATTTTTCGTCGTCAGTTTCAGTTTTGCATGAATGTTACCGATCCTGTAACTTTAGTTCTGTTCATGAAGTCGTAGAGAATTAGAAAAGCCACCATGATCGAAGAACCCGAAAAATTTAGCTTCAAAGTGATGATAATGTTAACTAACTAAATTTTGTATGAAAATCGATGTTAACTACTAGGATCAAA